TTTTGATGGCTCCTTATATATATATATATATATATATATATATATATGTGTGTGTGTGTGTGTGTGTGTTAGAGGACACAGACCCTTAACGAAATCGGTCGGATAGAGCCTTCAACATTCCGGCTTGAAGAGGATTCGCTTGTCTCATGGTTGTGACCTTGCTTCAATCAGTGACAGTTTTCCACATTTGCAGTTTCAAGGTCGTTGTGTAGATGGACTTTATAAACCAACGAAATCGTCTCCTATATACCTCGTTTTGTTTTCTCGCATGAGAGTGTTCCTTTTTAACGCCTTTCGATTTCTGTTTTGAATCGGGCGTTTGGGCTTTGAGGTCAACACGTTCGCGATTCATAGAAGGCCACAACGGATTTTTCTGGCGACGGGAATACAGTTGTGAATTACTCTCAAAGATGCCACTTTCGATGGAAGGGCTTATTGTAATCCTGCAGCAGCAACAGAAGTTATTTGAGGAATCACAAACGCGGCTGATCAAAACACTGTCGCAGAAATTTAATGTCCTATCGTCCTCAACTGACAGAAAGCAGTCATCTGTTGATACAATTTCAGGAAGCATCACAGAATTCAGCTTTGATCTAGATACCTGATGCGCTTTCGAATCTTGCTTCAGGAGGTACGCAGACAGAGCTGGCTAATACGGATGATGACTGGAAATCACGGTTGCTTCTACGAAAGCTTTGGACCAAGGAGCACGAAAGATATATGAATTTTATTCTTCTTAAGAGTGCGAAGACTTTTGAATTGCACGAATTGGTTGAACTGTTTACAGAAATCTTTGAGGAAGCGTTCGCTATTTTTAACCTGCGGTGTTCCTGTCTGAAACCTGTCAATTGTAGCTGTGATGATTTTGTGTCTTATACGACTACGGTTAACCGTTAGTGTGAGCGCTTCAGGCTTAAAGAAATGACGGAAGACTAATTCAAGTGTCTGATATTTGTTTGTGGTCTTCAATCGTCTCGTGACTCAGAGATTCTGACCGGCTTACTTAGTAAGTTGGAGCAGAATCCTACCATGAATCTGTGATCATTCATTTGATAGTGCCACCGTTTGTTGAACATGAAACACGATACTGCCTTGGTTGGACGTGAAACAGTCCCTGGCCCTAGTAACGTGCAGGCTGTGACAAAAGGTACCTTAGCAAAGCGCCCTATTTCCTCTACAGTCGGCACCTCCAACAAACTCCCAACAACTTGGTGGTAGTGTGGTGGTTGACATTATGTCCCACTGTGCTCATTTAAAAAGCATTGCTGTAAGAAATGTCACAAACGAGGACACAAAGAGGGTCATTGCCGTGCAAACAATGGAACACTACCGAAGACCCAGTCCAGCCAGTTCAGAAAAGCTGGACAAATATCTATGTACGAAATAAATCTTGAAATAGTTACCTTCGACACGGACGCAAAACCCCGGTGTATATATATGTGACTGTGCATATCGACAGCATTTCTGTGCGTCTCCAGCTTGTTACAGCATCTGATATTACTTTATTGTCACAAAGCACATGGAAGATGATCGGTCAACCTCCTCCAAAGCCGACAAATCGCACAGCGCTGAATGCTTCCCGTGGAGTCCTGAAACTCACAGGTGAACTTATGTGTTCTGTGTTTTTCAATAATGTGCAATTCTGTGCCGTGTTACCTAGCTAATCGACCATATCTAGCCTTCTGGGCCTTTGCTGGATCACAAAACTCAGGTTTTTTGACGTCCCGCCTAATTCTGTGTGTTCAATCTGCGATCCATCCTCTTAGGAGTATTCTATCAGGGCGTTTGCGTCATAAATTCGCTCAATTATCCCGGGATGAACTTGGTTGCTGCACGAAAACCAAGGCAGTATTGTTCCTCCACCCCCATGCAAAACCTGTCTTCCGACCCAAACGTCCCGTGCGATATGCGGCGTTACCAAGCGTTGATCAGGAATTGGAGAGACTGCAGCAGGCTTGCATCCTTGAACCTGTGAATTACTCCTCATGAGCTGCCCCTATTGTGGTGGTCAAGAAACCAAATGGGAAAGTCCGAATTTGTGCCGACCTCTCCACTGGCCTGAATGCTGCTCTGAAAAGTCACCAATATCTGTTGCCTGTGCTGGATGATTTGTTCGCAAGGCTAAATAGTGGCAAATGTTTCGCCAAACTGGACTTGTCGGACGCCTACCGCCAGGTGGAAGTTTCTGAGGATTCACAAGAGCTGCTGACTGTCAATACTCATTACACTCTTTCCGATGCACTCACTTACCATTTGGAGTAAAAACGGCACCTGCCATTTTTCAACAGATTATCGACACCATGTTGCAAGACGTCCCATGTGTTGCAGCATATCTTGGCAATATCATTATCATGGGCACTGATCCGGCGGATCCAGCGAACCGGATTGCAAACGTGCTTAATCGAATCCAAGATTATGACTCGCCTGAGGGAGGAAAGTGTGTTTTCTACATGGATTCTGTAAAATACTTGAGATTCGTCATTGATCAAACGATCGAAGACCAGACCCCGCTACTATTGAGGCCATCCAGAAAATCCCTCCACCGCATGATGTGACTACGCTACGATCTTTTATGGGTTTGTTGAGTCACTACAGTGCATTTTTTGCCAGCAATGCATGATCTACGAGGTCCACTGAACGCATTATTTCTCAAGAATTCCAAGTGGTGTTGGCGCATCGAATACAATCAAGATTTTGACGGGATCAAAGCCATGCTATCGTTAGACCTGTCGTTGACTCATTACGACCCGAACTGGGATGTCATTGTTGCTACAGATGCGTCTAATTACGGAGTCGGCGCGGTTGTATCCCACCGGTTTCCTGACGGAACTGAGAAGGCAATTTCTCATGCTGCCCGATCGTTGACTCCCGCAGAACGCATCTGCAGCCAAATTGAAAAAGAAGCACTGGCGATTATCTACGCCATTAAGAAATTTCACAAAATGCTTTATGACTGTCATTTTACTCTGGTCACAGATCACAAGCCCCTACTTGCTATCATCGGTTCCTGGAAGGGCATTCCCGTGTACTCAACGAATCACCTTCAGAGGTGGGCCACAATGCTTTCGGGATATGATTTCGAAATCAAGCACCAATCGACGGGGAACATTGGTCAGACCGCTGTTTTCTCACGTCTCATGGACGAATATGGCCAGGAGCCAGAGGACGTTGTAGTGGCAAGCATTTCGATCGAGCCTGAAGTTCGTTACCTTGTCGCAGATGCAATTAAGACCATCCCGGTAACGGCTTCTCAGCTACGTGTCGCAACCTCACCTGATCCTATGCTCAAGCAAGTGATCCCCTTCCACAGCTCAGATTGACCACAGAACATTGCAGACAGTGAACTGAAGCAGTTTCATCAACGTCGCAATTCCCTGTCGATTGTCGACGGCTATCTACTCTTTGCAGAACGAGTAGTGGTTCCCAAGGAACTTCAGTCGAGGGTTCTGAAGTAGTTTCACGCAGGACACTCGGTAATAGATCGTCTGAATGCATTGGCCAGAAGCTACGTGTAATGGCCTCATCTGGATACACAAGTCGAAGAGGTTGCCCGCTCTTACTCCAAATGCCCAATTGCTTCGAAAGCAGAGCTCCATTGTTGGCCGGATTTTGGGAGACCATGGTCGAGGCTGCATGCAGATTATGCTGTACCTATTAGTGGAAACGATTCCCTTGTCCTGGTTGACGCCTACAGTAAGTGGCCAGAGGTACTGCACATGTCATTGACTACTGCCTCAGCGACTATTATTGTACTTTGTCAGGTTTTCAGACGCTTCGGGTATCCAGACACATTAGTGACTGACCACGGAACTCATTTCACTTCAGCGATTTTTGTGAACTTCTGCAACAAAAACGGCGTAACTCACATGAGATCATCTCCGTACAATCTACAGTCTAACTGCGTAGCAGAGCGATTCGGGAACATCTTCAAGAGAGCACTAATGTAGGCGAAGAGAGAGGGGCCGAGGGCCGAGATCCTTCGAGACTTTTCTTTTTGTTTACAAGATAACCCCAACTCCGCATGTGCCTTAAAGGTAAATCTCCGACCGAAACACTGCTGCAGTGGAAATTGCGATCTAGCCTCGATTTGCTTAAACCACCTGACAGGAACAGCCTGATCTGAAACTACCACATGAAACAGCAGTTCAACAGGAGACACATTGCTCAGAACCGAGTTTTCTTCAAAACGCAACCTGTGCTGGCAATGCACTACCGCAATAACCAGGTTACCTTTACTCCAAGACATATCGTTCTTCGAACTGGAAGGGTCACGTATGACGTTGCTGTCAATTCTGAGCTTTGGGTCGGACATACCAATCAGTTACAATCTCGTTCCATTCTGGATGCATCCCCGACGCACAGCATCTTACCGTTAGACTCGCTCTTCGACACGAATACACAAATTACACTACAAAAATATGATGTTAAATATTATATGCGTTTTACATGAGATCGGGGTTGGATGGGGGATCTAAAATGAAAGGGATGAACAAAGGAACTCACGACACAATCGCCATTGAGGTTTGGCTCCTTGCCATGCCAACCTAGTGCATCTAACCAAACGTGTTCATCGTCCTTCGGACCCCAGTCAGGCACTCTGGAAACATCAACCGATGCCATTTCGAAGTGAGCGACTTCATACCTCTTGACTAAGCCATCGCTTGGCCTCTCTTCCTCCTCTTTCATCCACAACCCCAACGCGCAAAGAACGCACGTCGCGGCAGTCGCTGTGCTGGTATGCGCGACACGTGGCCCAGTCATCGGAGCCTGGTGCGTGAAATAATGGTGCTGAGCTGTTCACTCGCTCTTGCTTCATCAAAGACGGGACGCCGAACACGCTCATTGTTCACGTGGTGCTCCCCCTAAGTATGAGCTAAGCTGCGAAGGCAGCGACGATCAAATGTGACGAGCCATTTTATGTCTGTCGATCTGATGGGCCAGGTTTCGCAACCGTATAGGAGGATTGAACGAACGGCTGCATCATAAACCCTGCCGTTCAGGGCGAGAATAATGTCGCCTCTGCGCTACAGGTTGGCAAATGCACCTCGAGTTTTTACTATGCGGTTCGTAATGCCATAAAATCCTTGTGTCTTACCTGGCGCATCTATTTGTCAACGCCAAAAGTCCTAGGCATGTTATGTGAGTAGATACCCTAGTTATCATTTCAATCGTGCCCTGTATTACGTGTTAACTTTGTATCTTTAGTTGTGATGCCATGTTCCGAGACATTCGTAGCGATAGTACTAGGGCTGTGGATGCACACATTTGGGTGCATATATCTTGGTTTTATTTGACCTGGCTTTTGATCCGCGAGTGGTACGCCTGTTACCGCGATGATTGTGTTAACTCACCTACTGTTTATATTGCATCTTTTAACTCCTTGTGGCTCGAAACCTAACCGAGCAACTGGATTGCATCGAACTGGTCCCGCAATCCCATGCATCTTTTATCCCCCATCGAATACGATTCTTTCTCTTTCATATGGATTTTGTCGAGTTTCTTCCCCATTTCTCCTCTTTAAGATCCACATACCACTTCGTCTAACTGTGCAACACTAGCAGAATCCGTAAAATTAACCTAGATGCGAGAAGTTTCTCGGTCCATTTGCGTGCTGTCTGTGCACATGCGTGTTGCTTTGATCAACTGTCATTATGCTATTCGCTACTTGGCGCCTGATTCCCTGATTTCTATACCAATGGCATCCATAGCGCTTTCATACTCCTCCCCCATAAGGAAGTTATCTTCCTCCATTCATCTCTCAAGATGATCCTTGGCGCTTTTAAATTTCATCCAACGGACGAAATTGCTCATAAAACTGCGTGGTATTCGTTGTGTGACCAATCCCAAATCAGTCGACAGCATAACAGATGAGTACACAGCGTGGGATGCTACTGGCTGATTTGGGATTGGTCACTCAATGCACGGTAGCATTTAGGGACATACGTGCGTGCTGGACGCACCTTGAAGGTGTTTAGGACCATCTTGAAAGGTCCATGGAGGAACATGATTTTCTAAAAGAGGAATTCGGAAGCACTATGGGTGCACTTCACCGAGAAAAGATATGATTAGATACAAAAGTTAAAACCGGATTGAGTTGGTTTTCTATTAGTTAAAAAAGGTTACATTTATAGGTTAAACGTACTTCTCTTCATGGATCTCCCTGTTTTTCAATCGGGTCAATCCGACTGCGTTCCACTTGCTGATTGGTTGGTAAGTAGCGATGTTTATGGGTATCTGTTCGCTTGGTTAGTCGTGGTCCACTCTCAACTTGCCGATTCACAACCGTGCTGCGTGACTGTGCGCAGGCGTACTTCCCTTGTGGCCACCGAACAACTTGTACGCTGTATCAGTTACTCATACGTTTAGCGCTGTTTCACATGTATGTTTAGCGTCCTCCCACATGTGTGTAGTACCTGCGGTACATCAACTTTTCACAGATCCTCATGCCGGCCGGTTACCGAAAGTATGACAAGCATGCCTTGCAATCCGGTGGTTTCAGGTCCGAGCCTGTGTAGGGGACCGAGCGATCCTCTCAGTATCCTTAGACGACGCGCGACTGGTGATGATTGCGTGGCAGCAAAGCGTCGGTACTGCTTATTGGGATACTACTGCTACCCCATGAAAGTTAAACCTGTTTTCAGGTTTTGCATACAAATCGGTCGTAGGCATAAGAGTATGCCTTAGTATGCCATATTTCACGTTCCAATCGAGACTGTACGCTCAGGAACAAAGACTTACTGTAGGGTCACCAATATCCCTCATAGCAAATCTGTATATCGAAGACTTTAGGAGGAGGGCGCTTGCAAACTCCAGTAGTTCGCCAATAATTTGGTGGCGCTACGTAGATGATACATTTGCGATTGGAAAGCGGGATATGAAAGAGGAGTTTCTAAACTACCTGAACTCCATTACTTAGAAAATATACTTTATTATGGAACTAGAATCTTGCTGTGACAAACTTCCATTCCTTGGTTGCCTAGTTCATTGGAACAGGGTGGTTAAGGACGACGATATATCGCAAAGCGACAGATACGGACGGAGTACTCCACTACACTTCGGGTTATCCAAAGCAAGTCTATGCCGCTATCGCATCCACTCTGTCTTCCAGAGCTCAGACTCTGTGTACGGAGGAAGAGGACATGAAGGCCGCTCGCAATGAGGCGGTGAGCAACTTAATGGACTGGATATCCGAGGTGGTTAGTGAAACCCCAGTTATAGAGATCTCTACATCCACTCTCCGATGCATGACGGAGTGGATTAGGACGGCTGGAATCCCCCATAAGAAAATCTCTGAAGCATTCGGGCGAGCACTAAGTAAAGAGAACATACATGATTTCAGAAAGGTTTGAAAACAACCGGTTGGAATAGTTTGTGGGCAACGTTTCGCTTTTGACACAAAATCTTCCTCAGGCCGAGTGAACCAGTGGAGGATTGGTATAGCACTTATAGCGCACTGGGCTGATAATCGCGACGCATGGGATGTAAGCTGAAAGTCAATCGCCTTACAAGGTCACACACGTAAACCCTGTTAACGATGGATGCGAGGATGATGTGATGTTCACTCTCTGTCCTAGATCCGTCCGCCGGCTCTCAGACTGGTCGGGTTAACAGAGCTCGCCACACGCTCGAAAGCTGTGCCCCGTCCATTCTGTTCAAGCAGCTGTTCCCCTTGCCGATCTCAACCGCCTCAGCAGTCAGCCTATGGGGAGTTGATCGCAACCCCTTTCTAACGATTTTGACGTTATCTAAGTCGATCTCATGCCCTGTATCTATCGCGTGCCTCGCTACTGCCGAACTCCTTAGCATAGCCATATACTCAATCTCGTTTCTCGGTGACCGTGTTATGCTTCTCTTGGGTTCTGCTATCCTTGTATGTAGCTTTCTCGCGGTTTGGCCAATGTACACGTGTGCACAGTCTTTGCAACTAATTTTGTAGACGCAATTGGTTGTCCTATCTGCGGAAAATGGGTCTTTCAAGTGCACTAATGTAGAGCGGAACGTTTGGCCTTTCTGGAAAATTACTTTATGTTTTCTTTATTTAAGATTCCCCGGATGGCCTCCGAAGTTCCATCTTTTTAAGAAATACCTACCGCCCTAATCCACTCCCTAGTACACCGGGGTTGAGGATTTAAAATCCGCTTCAGTTGACGTTTCGCTAACCGCTATAAGTGCTTTACCAATCCTCCACTGGTTCACTCGGCCTGAGGGAGATTTTGTGTCAAAAGCGAAACGTTGCCCACAAACTATACCAACCGGTTATTTTCAAACCTTTCTGAAATCATGAGTTCTCGATCGGTTCCAAGTATTTTTCCAAGATGTTAAGAACATAAGTGATTTTTCAAATGGATCACGCCTTCCGTTCAGCAGTGGTGCGTTTAAATAATCTGGTTCCAAGAGATAGGGTGACCAGTTGCATATATACCATCAGTTGCAAAGGCTGTGAACACGTGTACGTAGGTAAAACAGTGAGAGAGCTATGCACGAGGATAGCAGAACACAAGAGGCACATTTCGCGTCCATCGAGAAAGGAGCCTGAATATAGGGCACTATTAAGATATTCAGCGGTGGTCGTACACGCGTTAGACGCGGGACACGAAATTGGCTAGAACAATGTCGAGCTCATTAAGAGAGAATTACGAACGACAAGCCAAAGGTTGATTGTCGAGGTGATTGAGATTACTAAGACTAACAACTGTATGAACAGAACGGATGGGGTAGAGCTATCAAACGCATGGGGGCTGTCTTAATTCGGCCAGTCAGAAGGGTGTTGGCGGACGGACTCAGGCCGGAGCGTGAAACAGCAGCAGCAGAAACAAGAATGCCTTATATGTGAACGACGGTGACGCGGATCAAATGGCGGACGCTCGATGCTTGTTGTTACATTATTGAATATAGAATGGCCATGTGACTTATTGACCTTCAACACTATTGTCTACTGATTCGTTTTATTCCTGGCAATCTTGACCGTACTTTTCCTGACTTGAAGATGCTTTTGTGTCAAAAGCGACACATTGCCACAATGAAAAAAACAACAAAAACCGATTTGTATTCAAAACATAAATCATGAAATCCCAGTCGGTCCCAGGCCTATTTCGTGATGTTAAACCTGTTTTCTTTGTTACCAGCTCCGAGAAGATTCCGAAGCTGAATTGATTCAGCTACGCATCAAGCATCGAGAGCTGGAAGTATTGACGAGTAAACAGAAATCAGAACTTCATGCCCAACTGCAAGCCAGTGAATCCGAGTTGAATCGGCTGCGACATTTGCTCTCGCGAAGGCAAACCCCTTCACTCTCAGATAGCCCCGCGGAGAATCAACGTGGTTCCCATGAGGGAGCTGCACTGACACGAACTGATCCGGAGCACGTGCTTACACTAGAGTCTCGGCTGCGGCAGTTGACAGATTCACTTATGTCAAGGCAGGACGCTTTGGATTCGGTGTTGGCCCAGAATCATGCGCTTAAGGTTAGTGCATGTTCATCACGTTTGCTTTCCGCAGCCTCTCTTTCTCTCATCTTTTTGTTAGCCTACCTGTTAAGTTGTGTTACGCTTTATTTTACACCTGCCACCTGGACCTCTACACTCGACTACATTTTCAAATCATCCCTCAGCTTTTTCATCAGTATTTTTCATGGTCGATGATCATTCGGTCTATAGACATTTATCTACGGTTTCCATCGGGCATTCATTTTATTCCACTTGAGGTGGGTTACGGTACGATCTCTCTCTCTCATCCCTGCACACCACGACCGACGGTTTCGTCTTTGTTTAGACTCATCAGGTAGAGATAGCCGAGCTGGGAGTGGAGCTCGGCGCATAGTGCTTGTCGGCTATCGCCAGGATCACTAGCCCGTTGAGCTTCGCGAGCGGTGTTGGACACAACGGTTAGAATTAGATTTTCGGGTTTTGAGCATCCGCCGTATTGGCAGAGGCTGACGTCAAAGTCAACCGAGGTTACGATTGAGATTGCGAGTTGCAATCCAAGACACACGGCGGGTGTTCCAAAACCCGAAAGTCCACTTGAAGTGTTTTATGCGTTCCCGTGGCGTTTCTCCTCTTTTGCGGATTTGCCTAAAACCAGTTGTTGTGGTGCACTGAGATCGGACTAAAAATCGTCCAAAGCGTGGATCCCGTTCACGTGGACGCTGCCTTATCCCCAAAGCCGTATAAGCACTTTAGTTGTTTAATTCTCCTTCTGTTTCGGCTGTCAGCAGTAATCCAGTGCACACTGTGTTGTGCTGTCTTCTCGCCTCATACTGCTGCAATTAGCTCATGGTTGACAAATTTTCCCAATTCATTTGTTGGTCCCGGTTTCTCGCACTACTTTCTCGCCGTTACTCCTCCATTTCTGACTGAATGACACCGGATTCATCCGTCCTATTCCAAAAGATAACTCTCCCGAAACACCATCTCATCGGACGCCCTTATGTGTTCCGAACGTTATCCGGAGTGGGCCCATTGACAGTTGCATATGTGCACACATTCTCATTCTCACAGCGCCTTTTCTCGAAGCGACTGCTGTTTACGCTGTCGAAACAGAATGATGCATGTGAACTAACTAATCATGCATCATTCCTGTATCATTCACTGCGCTCGAAAATGAACGCGTCTGTATACAATTATCTATTTTTGCCTCAAAATTGGATACTCATCCACTTTCAGCGGTTTTTTAGTAAACTCAGCATTAAGTGGCTCTGGCTAGACATCTTGTACCCAGAGTTGGACGTTCGAAAACCCCACCATTGCCTTCTCCGGATATTGTCGCAGCATTTCTGGCTACATACGGATCAACGACAGAACAGCTCTAGGCAACCTACAGATATTCCGACCATCTGTGCGGTTAGAATTCTTGATAGAGCTATGAAGAACTTTGTGAGGAATTTCATCTCGAACCCCTATGATTATGAAGGCTTAGGCACAATTTGGTTTCACCATACTGTCTAGTTCATCAAAAAATTTATTTTGTCTTGACTACCTCACATTGCAACGCAGTGTAACTGGCGATGTTCGCAACAAAAGTTGTGCTGTCCAATTTATTCCTGCTTAGGTATTCTATCTGAGCCCGTGGAACAGACTACCAATCAAGCTCGGGCTGCCCGAGTTTGCAACATCCTTTCACGCTGAACTGACAAGTATCTTTGACCTGAAACGATTACTACCATGAGAAAAATCACATAATAAACTATTTCAACAGGAAGCAACAACTAGTTAACTAGTGGACGCAAACGATATTCACTAATGCAAGCGCAGTTAGTTGTTGGTAGTGCGTTTGCAGACCTCTCTACCGAACCGTAGAGATAACGATCTCGATATGAATCCAATAGAAGAAGTGCCCACATGATGGGAAATGCATCCATCACCAAACCATCTCTTGATTGGCGAGGTGTGAGCGCTGCTTAGTGGGAAACGTTCCCATATCTTTGCGGTTACCTACAACCCATTTTGCGTCTCCTATCAGAAAATGCATAACATGTACAGCATCCCTATATCTATAGCTTTAACTTCCTGGCCATTCATTAGGCCGCAGTCCAGTAGTTTCACGCTATACCAATGGTACGCATAAGCACAAATACTCATCCACCCATATGTTACTCATGCAGAACATTATTGCACCTGTGCGAAAAGGCCTGCTTTAACTATGCGTATAATCTCTCGTACGTCGGGAATCATGCCCATCGGTACTATTACTATTGTTATTACTGCATAAGGTGGCATATTCTTATATGTCGTTCATTTAACTGGACTTGAATTTCGCTCATCTGCACTGTTCGGAATCTGTTACAGGATGTCTCGGGCCACTCACGTATGCCTGAAGAGTAAATCACGATCATTCCCGTCACTAGGACCGCACCAGAACTGACGTTAATCTCAGTGGCTCTTGCTCCTAGCATCGCGTTTTACGACTAGATTCTCCCTATTCGTAATCTCCAGATGAACTTGGCCCTGTGCTGGGAGTGTAGCCTGACACTTAGTCGCTATGCCACCGAGCTCCACGAACTACACTTCTGCCTCCCAAACCGTTCGCATTTCATATGTTCTTTGGTTACTTGTGGGATTAGATCCAACTCTGTTGGTAAGTCATTGTCCGCAAGTGGGTGATATGGCGATTAGTCTCTGGGTCCCATTACCAGCGGTTTCGGTCGTGATTGGACCATAGTCGCTATCACAATTCATATCGATCCTATCCATGTCATTGTAGCAGGGGTAAGTCACATTTCCATCTTATTCTAAAAGGGTCACACATGGTGACGATGACCGCGGTGGCGTTTACCTTTCTTGTTGCACTGTCGACATACCACCATATTTCTAGTTGCACATCGGTAGCCATAAAGCATGACATCCCGTTTTTAGTTGCTTGAAGCATAGTTAAAGTTGATGACGTACAGGTGATCGTATCGATTTGTGTCTATGAATAACTTGTGTTTGGCCACACAACGTACCGGCGTTACATCCATTTTGACCACCACATTCAAGATGTCATTTATCGTTCATCTTAGGGTCGACACAAACGTACAATCCACTGGTGGTCCTTTACCGCTGTAAACCACATTCCTGCTTCCTCTGGTCTCACGTTTCACGCTAGTCAAATGGCATCGCCTCCGCACACGTAGTGTGCTCACAATGCATGCTCATAGTGCGTTTATTGGTATAGGATTTACTATGCTTGTACTGTAGTCCAACATCTCCCTCTTCCCTGACATCCACTGTTTACGACATGTTGGCTGGATCAGAAACACTCGTAGCGCTTAACTACAGTCATCCGAGCTGCAAACTCTATAGTCCAAGTTATGCAAGATGGCATTTAGAAAGTCACCTATGCCATGTAGACTGCTCCTGCAGCGTGTCTGAAAGCCGGTGTTACCAAGTACCTGTTCATAGTTCGAAGTTCACGGTCACGGGACCGTGTGAATGTGCATATGAAAAGGCTAATGTATAGGGCGAAGATTCAGAGTTAAATCCGCATGAGATTGCACCAGGAGGGAAGTAAGCTGCCGAATTAATCAGTTGGCCGAGTATTACTGACCACCACGCGTTTCAGTGTTGCAGTTTTCACATATCTATTTTGTAGCAACGAATTCGCTTTGTTACGGCAAGTATGTAATATGTCCGCAATGTTCATTGGATGATTCCTGAGGTCAAACAACTGCTTCATAACGGAGCTGTTGGAGAATCCCACTTTAACTTTATGGAATCAAACTATGCACTTTCGTTCGCGATTTTCCTCCTTGCTATGCCTCGCTTCCGTCACTTTCGGACTCATCCGTAGTCCTTATGTCCACATGTTCTTCTCTGTTTAGCATAGTCGCATTCATATATCTTATTGACTAACTGCATCAATCGATCCCTGCTTCTTCGGACACTACCACCTGCGATTCTGTCACATAGTGCTATAACCCGTCCTAGTTGTTTGAGCTCCTAGTCGGAACGGACGAAACGCTCCTCAGCCATAGTATCCTGCGCGCAGAGTAAACAGTTGCATTCAAATTTATATGAATTCTGAATTCTGCTTCGAAGCAGCGAGTAGAGCTTTCTCTGGGTAGCTGCATCATTCGTCGCTCTTGGACATATATTCGTTATGTTCTGTTCCGCTATGTATATTTTGCGTCTGCAAAGTGTTTGTCAAGGAGCTACTTAAATTCCGACACTGAGTACGCCTCAACTATGTGCGGCGGCAGGTCATTCCAGACATTCACCACTCTGCGTTCGAAACATAGTTGGTGAGCGACCCGCTTCAACTCCGGTGTCCTCGCGTGCAGTTTGGTGTGCGCAGATGAAGCAGTTGTCTCAAGATGGAGTCACCACTCAGATGTAATGTCCAGTGCGTCATGATGAGGTCAACCCTCAGTCGACGATAAGCTAGGGTGTACAGCCCTGGTTCCTTACATCGGTCTTCGTGTGGCACACCTCATAAGTTGGGAATCAGCCTGGTGGCTACATGCTGCACTCGCTCAAGCTTTTCTACCTCGCCCCGGGTGACGGGACAATACGCGGGAGAGCCGTACTCTAGCATTGGTCTTATTATGGAGACGAAGAGGCGAGTGGCAATCTCTTCGGACCAAGTGCTGAAGCTGCGCCTGAGGGCCCAAAGCATACGAAGGCTGTTTTGGTGCAGCCTATTCGTGTTGTCAATGGACTTTAGGTCGCAGCGTGAGAGTACACCGAGGTCGCACACGAAAGGCGAGGGATGCAACGGTTGATCAGCCACTGTGTAGATTCGGCTGTGCTCACACTTACCTAGCCTAATGAATTTCAACTTGGCAGGGTTGATCGGAAGGTTGACTTCTGCAAACCACGTTGAGAGGCGGTCGAGGTCTTGCTGAAGTAAATCGCAATCATTGAGTGTGCTGATTACTCTCCACACCTTTAAGTCATCTGCGAACAACGCACAAGGTGACTTGAGAGACCTAGTCGCCAGACGTGTATACACGCGAGCTGAAACTGCAGACGAAACGCATAACCTCACACGCCTGCACCGCAACTCAGAAAAGAAGAACAATCATATAGCAGGAGTTAGTTGACAGACTCAGCTAAGGATGAATATGCATTCAACTTCCTCATATGTGTCACTCAATAGTTAAAGTAACATAATACTTCAATTGTAGACGAAATTGGATGTTGGCAAAATACATGAGCTGCCAGGTATGAGCAATGTTCTGAGGGGGACTCAGTTGAAGTCAGTGTTGTTTGGGACGGTAAGCACAGTGTCGTCACTGTTTGCCTCTTCACTGGGGCGAGCAGTTTGTCATGACAGTGATTTCAATGGGCGCTCAGTTGTTACGTGCGCAGTTTTGATCGCTGCATGGCACATTGTTAAAGTTAACTCAGGCAAAGTGCGCCACTTCCATGGAGCTATGCGAGCTCCTCAGAAAGTAGACGACACTCGTTGTCTACAGTCATTTTATCGTAACTTTGATCATCATTGTAGTATTATCGGTGAGATCATTTGCGCTTTCATCTATGACCTCCATAGCTGAGCGCTTCTCACTATCTCCGTTCCGACTGCTTGCAACGCCTACCTGAAAATCGGTTAAGTGACTGGCCTACGCTAATTTCGATGCAAAAGTGAACTGCCCTATGTGTCCTTGTTTCAAACCCTCCTCTCGCCGAAGTGGAGTATTTTGCTTTAATAGCCTGACAGCTAGCATATCATGGCCAGCCCCATAATCCCTGCGAGATATACGCTCGCACAGGAAAACTGTCGCGCTCCAAACGGCCCCATCGTACTTCATTCTTTCCAGCGTATTTGTGCGTTCATTTACATGTTGGATACTCTTATTTGTTGAATCTGGTCCACACTATCGTGTTTCTTAACCATGAAAGCTTTCCGCACCTGATTTCGAGGATTTCGCAGTACCGACTCATTACTTCACAACTCGCGATTCGCGTTTACAGGCAACCGTCAGGTAGCATCCGACATCGCCACTTGCTGCGGTTAACCAACAAGTCGCGCGGAAGCTACTAATAAGTCGTTTTACTCTATCGGAATGACACAGCAAATAGTGGGAGACGATTCTAGGTGTAAGTTCACCATCACGGAATACTCGAACATCTCACGTTTCATATTCAGTTCATTTCTCTATTTTCATTATCTGACATCGATTCTCTATTCAATCCTGTCGTCGTATCTATCCCATCATGTGTGTCGTTGTCTTTCGGCCGGCTTTGCAGTTCCTGCTTGTCCCTTGTGTCTGTTGAACAAATGACGCATACTACCTGTCAGCATCCTCGGTATTACATCGAATCCCCTTAAATGGAGCACTAACCGCTCTCTGGACACAGCAAGCCTAGCGTGAAGTACCACTGTTGTTTCCTCTTCTCTTTGTCATCTGCCATCCATTCACCTCAAGCTCGTTCCTCCACGAGCAGCTGTGACAATGGCATTCGTCTCACCATGAGGAGCTAGTCAGACTCATCTTCTATCCCGTCCCGTCTCTTACTACGTGATTAGGATAAAACTGCCCACTTGCCTCCCAGCTATATATTTTTCATTACCCCCTAAGCCTATTATGAGTTACGTACATATTGAACACGGAAGTTCTCGGAATTCTCTTCCTATCGTACAGTACAACGTATTCTTCTCAATCATTTCTCTGAGTGGCGTTCTGCACACGTCTAGCTTGCCCCGTTGGTGTAAGCATTTTCACGTTCTCGTTGGTTTAGCATACATGACTTTATGTTACATTTGTCCATAGTCCTTATCATTTGACAACATTTAGCTTCAGCTACCCACGTTGTCTATTCTTCTTCGCCTGGTTCTCGCAGATTCGGCTGGAGCGTGCTCAGTCGGACAACGAGTCTCTCGCATCGACTTTGGCCACCGAAGGCTACCCGTTAGCGACCGAACCACCAGTTCGGCTTCCCTACCATAGCGCCAATGGATACGGTTGCGCTCGGATTCTCCTTCGAGTAAGTGTTTCCTCATGTTTGATCATAGTTGCTCTAGACTTTCTTGACGAATAAGCTGCGCTCTTCTAGTCCCCTATTACAAGCGTTTTCCAGTGCTCAATGTCATGCTGATGCGATCGCCTGACAATTGCTTTTCCCTTTGGCAATAGACTATCTGTAAATTCAATTGTTTCATTCTTTTTACGGGTTTAACCTATTCTGGTTTCCTAATTGATAACTACTGGACTAGCAGCATATCTTTCTTCCCCTTGTATTCCAAGATTGAGAAATTTCTTATCACGTCTACATGCTTTGTTGTATCAGTACCTATGAATTCAATGATGCTTGAGACTGTTTCGCCGTTTACAGGATTATGACGGCTAAGTTGTGAGCCTCGTTCAAACCAACACGGGGCTGTTTACGAGACATCTGTTGGAGCCAACTTTCATTAAGTTAGTTGCTTTTAGATCTATCACTTTGCCTGGTTTTCTCATTGCCATATTCTCTGTGTCTGTGTGCCCTTTGTAGTTATATGGCGCCCACAAGACATGGACACAAAACGATCACATCGTGATCATTTACCGTTGTTGTGTTCAAAACTGTCGTTCCATTTGGAGCACAAGCGTGGACTTTGACTACGCACTTGTATGCGACGACCTGCAGGTGCGTTCCGGCGGACGTCCGCAACGACACTGTGAGTGCATAGATACTTGCCACATGGCGAAGTCAGATGTTTCCAATCCGTATCAAACTACACTGGTATCCGAGCTGTAAGCGACCACTGAACACAGTTGAAGATCACTGCTCGCATATTCGCTAGACATTGTTAGCAGCAGGCATCTTTTCATGTGGCAAATCAGATTACCAACCTGGACATTGGGTCTCTACGCGGTTCCTGGAACTTCTGGATGCTCGCCGACCTATTCTGGCTGGAAGCGAAAGTAGTGGGACTCGCAGAAGCCTCACGTCAAAATTGCGTGCTAGCCTGAAGAGAGATTGCAAAGCGTGGTGGTCTCATCGTGCATCGGAAATGGAAATACCCACTGGTCTTGGTATCCATGGGAAGTTAATCCGTCTGTTACAAGAAACGGACAATAGAACACCTGGTATTAGCGAAACAGAGTGGACAGCCAATCCACAGCTTGTCAAAGTCCTTCGATCGCTAGGCCGAATGCTTTGAGGAGCAGTTTAGTCAGCTAGTTGTCATCTTCCCTATCGGGCAGTGATCGCCCTACTACCTGGAAATCAAAAAATCAACAACAGCAGTACATCAGCCATTTGAACTGATGCTTCGCTGCCATACAACCATGATGACCTATGAAATAAAGAATAATAAGAGGGAGAGAAGGGGAACTTGCCAGAAAATTTTAATGCCTTAAACAAGCATTCAAAGTCAAGTCGTCTACACCTTGTGTTAACAACATACCGTCACAAACAGCTAGCTATCGTGCAAAGCTAAGTCGGTATCTGCGAGACAGCTTCCTTGCGGCTTTCACTGCCCCGCGTCATAATCAACCATTACCCCGCAGATAACTCGGCACCAAACACACCTTAAACAGGCAGTCCGACTAGGAGATGGCAGCAGACGCGACATTTGTGTCGGTTGCGAGCCATGTCCTGTAAAGTTTCGAGGCAAGCACAAGGCGAGTCACCGTGGACTACAGCCTGGATTGCGAAAGGGACCAACGCCACTCAGTTTGGTCGTCAGTGACTTCATTTCCCGCTGCCAAGTCAAGTTCTGTCCACCTCAAAACTTGCGCCACCCTACACCTTGCAGGCTACACAAAGCCCTCCTAGGTAAGCGGTGATCAGGCATACGTAACACCTGCCCAAGCCAATGCAATTTGTTCAGTTCTATCTGTTGTTCTAGGGAGACAGCATGATTATCACCACCTAGTACTCGCCTACGCACACCATCGTTGCAGACAAGCTGGTGCCATCCGACACCAGCAATGCTTCGCAGACAACGATGATCAAAGACTTGAAGGCATCTCAGATCTTTAGACCGAAGGGGGACAAGCTTCATTACAGAAAAGCAGGACGGCCCTCATTATGGCCTTGTATTCACTGCCTTTCAGACGGAGGGAAACCCTTCTGTCGTCAAAGATGCCGCGCGTTCAAGGAGGTAGTTCTGGCCTTTGCAATGCGTGAAATGACTTCATTTTCTATGTGCCCATCGTTGCTGATCTAGCTGCCAAGATAAGTGAAATGATCAGCCACCTTGAGTTCATCGTTAGCAAGCGTCAAGGGGTCATCAAGTGTCCAGTACTTCTGCAGCAACACTTTGAAGGTGCAAAGCGCATATCAAATAATGGGACCACTATTCAGGGTTAATTGTGCCGCCGCAACATCGTCAAAAGGCAAGACGATGTCGTCCGCATAATCAAGATCAACTAATCTTTCACCAGACAGCACTTCAACGCCCATATCGCGAGATTCCGCAAGGGACCACTCCATGATGGAATCCACGACGAAACTGAAGGGAAATGGGGAAATCGGACAACCCTGACGAACGCCACTTGGAGTCTGAAATCTATCCGGTACTCCACCCTAGACCCTGACGCGGCCTGTAGTGTTCGAGTATAGAGCACGTAGGATGTTTACAAATTTCTTGGGAACATCTTTCCGCGCATGTATTTCGACTGTTCCCTTGGATTCGCCCTCACGCACAAAGTTGAACTTGACATCAGACTGTTGAAATTGAACAGGGCTGCAGAAGCAGATAGACTTCCTTCAGCCCTCTTCAAATTTGGAGACCTGCTTTTGTAGATGAATTGCGAAACGTTCTGGTGAAGCTGTGCGAGTAAGAGACTGCCCCAGCAGACTGGAATCACTCCGTTATAGTTGAAGTTTTCATAGGAGGTTAACGACAGTCAGTAAGGTTAGTCTGATCTCAATTGTATCTAAATTACTTGGGCTTGTCGTGCTATATATATATATATATATATATATATATATATATATATATATATATATATATATATATATATATATATATATATTGATCACAGTCTGTGTGCAGATATTGCGCCATCGGGGCCATGGCGAAATAGCAACACAGGGTAAAGGAAGAAAACAAAAAAAATTTTGTCCATTTTTCAACTTACAATTTTTGAGCTTTTTCGATGTCTTATTTGGGGGAGGGAAGAGGAATCACCGCAACAAGCAGATACACGCCCGCCACTGTGTTCGATTTCGAGCCATGACTTCCAGCTGCACTCCGCATTCTTGGGACCTCATCCAGGGGGTCAGTAGGAACCAACCGTGGTCAGCTGTTTTGTCAGATTTTTCATCCTGCTTCTCCAAGTTTTAGGCTGTCCACCACACTGCCTCCTCCAACCCTGTTTAACGACTGCGACAACGGACGACGCGTAAGACGCTGAACGGACATACGCGGTACGTGTCCGAGTCATCGTAGTTGGCGCAGCGAGAGGGAGTGGCTGTCTCCACCCAAGACACGCTGTCTGACTTCAGCGTTGGTTACGTGGTTCAGCCACCACACACGGTCGATGGACCGCAAGCAACAGTTCTCGAAGACAGACAGTCGACGTAGGTCATCGATACGAGCAGGCCAAGTCTCGCAACCGTACAACAGTACAGCGCGGACAGTACCACTATGAACCTGTCCTTTGATGGAGAGACGGATGTCATGGCGGCGCCATAAATGCCTCAGCCTGAGAAGGCGAGACGAGCTCTTGTGATACGCATCGAAATCTCGTTCCCAACAGCTCCACTAACAGTTATGCAGTTTCCCAGGTAGACAAAACTCTATACCACTTCTAACATTTCCACGTCGATGGTGAGTGCAGGTATGGGAGTATACCAGTTTTGAAAAAGCGTTTTGCACTTGGATGGTGAAAAGTGCATGCCATACTTCGACGCTTCAATCGCCAGGCGGTTAAGTGCAAGTCAGACGCCCTTCGAACCGTCACCCAACAAGACGATGTCGTCAGCGTAATCCAAATCAACCACCCGACTACCTAGGAGGAGCTCAACGCCAGCATTCAACAAGTCTCCTAGGGCATTTTTGAGGAGATCCTCAATGGCAAAGTTGAAGATGGATGGAGAGATAGGGCATCCTTGTCGAACCCCACTGGTGACAACAAAGGAAGGCGAAAGCTTGCCATAAGCCCTAATTCTACCCGAGGTCAGGCTATACAGAGCACGCAGAATGGAGACGAACCATTCCTCAACAGACAGTGCCACAATGCAACCCTGTCGACAAAATCGAAGGCGACACTGATGTCCGGGTACACAACAATCGTCGGCTTTTGATACACATGGCGGCTCTTGTGAATCTGGCGGAGTGTGAATATCTGATCGATGCAACCGCGACTAGGGCGGAATCCAGCCTGTTCTTCTCGCTGTAGTGATTCACGCGTTGGGGATAGTCTGCGAAGAATGATTGATACCGGAATCTTACAAACAAGGGGAACCAAGCTTATACCCCCTGTAATTGGAGCAATTTGTGCGCAGACCCTTTTTGAAGATGGGGGCGACTATCGACTCACTCCAGAATGATGGAACTTCCTCTTTTGCTCAGACTTCTGAGAACAAAGCGGTGAGTTCTCGAACTAGCGAAGAGCCTTCATCTTTAAATCGAGCAGGAGTTAGACCATTAGGGCCGAGTGCTTTATAACGTTTTAAGCAGCAGAGTTCCCGCCAGATTTCCTGTCGAGAGGGAGCATCAGTGGGGATGGTCTACTCATCACCAGTGCGCGCTCCAGTGGAAACATATGGAACTGGTGGCCAGGCAATCCGAGCGAAAATGTTCGACCCATCGCTCCAACCGTAGTGATTAGGGAGCCATCATCTTCGCAAATTGTTTCGCTTACTCCTGATAGGAAGACTTCGGTGACCCGGATGAGGTGGAAAAGTTTTTTGATATTACCAGGGTGATTAGCAAGTTCAAGCTCTCTAGTATGTTCACACCACCAGATATCACGGTCCTTCTGCAGCGTCCTACGTAACGCTTTATCCAGGGATCGACGTTCCTCACTACAGCTGGTGTCGGCTGGGAT